GCCAAAATCCCTGTTGCAGTGTGTGCAAACCTGGTCAAGAACTACAGGAAACGTTTGACCTCTGTAATTGCAAACAAAGGTTTCTGTACCAAATATTAACACTGATTTTCTCAGGTGTTCAAATACTTATGTTTAGCAGTGCAAGACAAATAAATTCTTTAAAAATCATACAATATGATTTCCTGAAATGTTTTTTTTAATTCTGTCTCTGAGTGGGAATGCACCTACAATGTGAATTTCAGACCCATCCATGATTTCCAAGTGGGAGAACTTGCAAAATCGCAGGGTGTTCAAATACTTCTGTTCCTCACTGTATTTCTGATTAGAAAAATGAGAAAAACCTAGTCAAAACTGATGCATTAATTCGTCATGGCTGTCACCACAGTGTCTTCATGCTAGCGCAAGGAGTTGCCAAAGTCAGAAATCCTACACATACTGTAGGTGAGGTTGCTATATTAAATTCAACATCCTTCTACCAAAGTGGCATCAATTCAAACTGCAGTAATAAAGACAAACGTGTCCTCATGTCTCATAACTGGGATTACCTCTGGCTTCAGTATGTTTAGTATTCTGAACAGTCTACTTGTCCATGGGTACTGAACAAGTGAGGCTTTGCTGTATGAAAGTTGATGTTTTGATTCTACATGTTTCACTAAGGGGATGCCAGTGATGCATATTTTTGTAAATAGAAATGTGTCTGGCCTTCGCCCGATTGCTGGCTGGGATTGGCTCCAGCCCCCCCGCAACCCCGTTTGGGACTGAGCAGTATAGAAGATGAATGAATGAAATGTGTCTGTTTGCTGATGATGTAGCATTTTCTTTGAAACCAGTCTTGACTATACAAAGTATTGTCAACAGTTTAAAGTCTCATGCGTAAGATAAAATCTGAAGATCATCTACAGTCTGACCTAAACTGAGAAAAATCTAAACAGAACCCTCCTCAAATGTTAACTGAAGGACTCTGTTTCATGCAGTTTCATACTGACCCTTCCCTTAACTAATGCATTAAACCAAAAACAACTCAAATTTAAATTAAAATAATTAGGAATGCTTCAGGGCAAGAAGAGTGATTCCCACTGTATATCAGCTTTGGTCAGTGCCGCTGGACCCCTAACAAGGCTGCACTTAATTCATTGTAAGTGCTGCATGTAAGAGTTAAGAACACTAACTATGAAGAGCTCTCAGGTGAAAATGGCAAAACTGTAGATAGTGTCCCTGATTTATGCAGTAGACCAAAGTTCAAGGACACAACATAGAGCATGACTGGAAGGTGTAGCTCATTCTTCTTTAGTAACTGACATGAGGAAGCTAAAAAGACAGAGTCAAGACTATTTCAACAAACCACTCAATCAATCAAAGAAGCCAAGAGTCAACTTGGACCAGTGACCAGCCAACAAAGCAGTATGATGACAGTGGACACAGCCACATGCCATATTCGACCGGCTATCACATGATCACAAGCTCAGCAGTACAAACACAAATAAATACCACAAAGGTAAATACAAGTCAAACACCTTTCATCTGCTGGCTAACACTAACAGCATCATCAGTACAGACCACAACCCCGCAGGTTATTGGCTATGATTACATCAGTGACAGCATCAAAGACAAACTGGATGTTGTTCGTGTCTGTGGCGCAGGTCACGTGGGAGTAGACCTCCTTGTTGGGTGACTTGTTCTTGCTCTCGTACTGTGACTTAATGTAGGCTATTCCCTCCAAGTAAGTGTCTGGACCTAAGGAGAGAGGGAGACACACACACTGAGATGACATACAATATAGTGAGAGTCCGGTGAAGGATTAAAAGCTGGTGCTGTCAGGGGCCAGTACCACCTTGTCCGTGTCAGCACTATTTTCTAATATTTTCTGAAAACATGACCTTTGACTTTCTTGCTTAGTGTACATTCTACTGAGGTGCTGTGTGGAGGGCTGTGCTTACTGCTAGCCAAGCTTCAATAAGTATGACACAGGGAGCACTTTTTCCAGACATACTGTAATGAAAAGGTGATTTTGAACAGACAAACGCAGGATGATGGAAAATGTCTTGTTACTGCTAGCAAAGTCTTCGTCTTCATACTGCCAGTGAATTACAGGCCTTACACAGACATTTGAGACTGTGACAAATATAATGTCCTTCAGCTAAAAGGATGGAACCATTATTCATACTGTATATTGATTAATTTTTCAGAAGTGCCAAATCCACTCTACATCCTTTTAGTTCAAGTCCATTATTATGTGTGGGAGTTAGTTCTGACTGTAATGCAATAATTGGGCACGCATTGGCTTTAATCAAGAACTTTAATTTGTTATAATGTATTTGCAATGAGTCAAATCTCACTGACTGAAGTAATTTTTGCTCTAAGTGTCATTAACATCTATCTGGCTCTGAGCCATTGGAAGCCCTGTGGTTTGTTCTCATCAGAATAGGCAGGCAGACTGGCCATGTAAAAGGATGAACAGAGAAGAAGCACAGGAGAGGAAATGGTCCGGAATCCTAATTCTCTCTTTCTCACAGTCCTGTGGGTTTGGTCTCTCCCCATCTTGCTTTCCCACGGTCTTGCTTTGTCTGTTTCTTTCAAATTCTCTTACACTTTCTCTGTCTCTCTCTCTTTCACACATTCTGTTGTTTCCCTGTGTGTTGTCTTGTTTCTCATTTTCTCTTGTCTCTCACACTCAAGCTCCTCTTGTTTGGACTTTCACTAACGATGGTTATGTACAGTGACCCAAGCTTTTATGAGCATAGGCTTCGCCCTCTAAGAGCCGTTGCTATTGGGTTTATCCCTCACACATGCACAGTCCTGAAGAGATTGTTTCGTGCCCTGTGCCCCGCACTGGGCTGTCCCCAGACAGGTCCGCTGTGGTGGCATAAATGCCAATGTGACCTTTGATTGGCTCCCTATACCAGCACGTTTTGTTCAGCTGGTGTTGGTGGAGACCGCAGGGTTGCCAGCTTAGAGGGCTATGCCTAAACATAGAAGCTTGGGTTACTAATGAAACCATGTTCTGTTTTATGTAGGCTTTGCCCCCTAAGAGCTGTCGCTATTGGGATAAAAGTGCAGCTGGATGTAGTCTATGCCCTGTTGGCACACTGCTGCCAAAGAGCATTAAAAACAACACCTGAGTTTGCCAATATAACCCACAACAACAGCCCAAAATATCATCCTCTCCCTGCATCAGGCCTTGGACTGAGAAGCAGGTGCAATCTTGCCCATATAACACCTGACTGTCGCTGTAAGAAGGCAGAGTGGCCATACTGTTTGAGAAGCGCAGGGAAGAGCGCACAGTGAGCGTGTGCACATAACAGTTTGAATTGCGAGAGCATACAAATGTTAGCTACGCACAGTAACAGTCAGATGCTTGTATTATGTTGCTGTTGTCTCATATTAGTAATGTTTATATTTTGATGACGAACAGCAAAGCATAACAATGCTGGTAGCCGGCCACAACCAGGCAGGTAGGACCGGCAGGGGAGAACAGGAGTACCATGGAGAGTGCACAAACAAAATGTGTGTGTCCAGTAAGGACACACACACTTTGTTTGTGCACGCTGTTGATAACACAATGAAGCGAGAGAACATTAGCTGACAGCTTACCGCCCGAGTGAGTGACCCACATGCAGTATCAGTGCCCGGTGGGCAGTGTACACTCACGTTCCACGACACAGGGAGCTTCCCAGAACACTTAGAACTGAGTGAGCTAGTGAAAACTCGGACATGGACTTGAAGGGGGGGTTCCCTGAGCGCACATAAAACCAGAGGTACGCTCCACTGCAACGCTACCGAATGCATCACAGGTCATTATCTACCTACACCTCTCAGAAAACATTTCACCAGCAGGTGTGCGAACATCTCTTGCTGAAATCTTCATGGCATGACGAAATGGCAGCGGCATAAGCTTTCACAGTAGACAGGGCCAAGTTTCTGTCTACCAGTGTCTGTCCGAAAATTTACACTCCAGCTAGTGGGCAAGATGTGGGAACTGTCCCTCCTTCCATGCACCTACATTGAAAAACAGACCACTTCGCTGCGTAAGATGCTGTTGTTGATGGAGCTCTAGCGCACTGAATTGTGTGTACGACCGCTGGAAGCAGACCTAGGCTCTCCAGTTGCTCCCGTTCAGGGGCCAAGTCCACAGGTGCTGTCCTATCACAGGAGACTGCTGGAACGCACCATCCAGCTGAGAGAGTGCGTCCCTGAGCCATAGCAGCTGCCAAGGCTCGCCCGCCAGCAGCTGAACCAGTGTCAGAAACCAAGCCACGCCTGTGTGCTATAGGGCTATCAGGAGGACGTGCAACTGTTCACAATGAATGTGTAAGAGGAGAAGTGGGATCAGTGGAACTGGAGGAAACACGTAAAGGAGACCTCTGTGCCAGAGGTGATCAGCAAAAGCGTCTACCCCTAGTGGAGGCTTGTCTCGGGCGTTCACTGACAACCAGAGATCACACTGTGCGTTCTCGCGTGCTACCAAACAGGTCTGCCACTGCTTGCCCGAACCTGTCCCACAGCACTTGAATGAGGGACCACCTGCTTGGCTGAGGCCCACCTCATGACATGAGATCCACGGTGCGGTTCTGCTCACTGGGGCCATGCACGGCTCTGAGGGAGAGCAGGATCTGATGAGCCCAGAGAAGAAGACTCCGTGCTATTTCTAGCAGCTGGGCAGAGTGAACGCCGCCTTGTAGAGAGATCTTGCCCAACATGGGCACGAAGAAGAACCCGAGATTAAGAGTTTCGTGCTCTACCGACTGAGCTAGCCAGGCAGCTTAGACATGACAATGAGGCGAAAATGAATTGTGCTTCTTTTCTTTCATTTTTTGTGTAACCCACGGCACAGTTGTGGTGGAGAAGCATGACTGTAAACAGACAGCACAGATTCAGAAACAGAGGAAAAAGGACTGTCAGAAGATCAAAAAGGACCTGTGAGTGTCCGGTTGTCTTTCTTGCCCCTGTGTTGGCCGCACGCCTAGCAGCTCAGGATCACTGCATGCTCAGTGGTGGAGTAAATCCGCTTCGACAGCTGTGGCATGTGCAGCCATGTTGCGCAGGATCATTTCTTTTTGGTTGCCCGGGCCTTGATGTGCACCATTGCCACCGATGCAGTGGTGCCATGGCTTTCCCAATTTCTTTCGCTGCCTATGCAGGGAGAGCCCCAAGTTGTGCAGTGAGGGAGGAAAAGGATGCGGAGAAGAGAGTCATGTTGTTAATCGCCACACCTGCCTGGGATGGCCATTGATGAACGTGGTCCGAGAGGCGAGCA